TGCCCATTCGGCTGCATCGCCATCAACTGCTACAGTCGTGGGTACAAGAATCTGGCCTGAGGGGGAAAAGGGTTTCATTAGTCTTGCAAATAACCCGATTCAGACAGGTCACATGTACCGGCGTCATTACAAAATAACTTAGTCTGTGGGGTACACCTATACATGTGGCGACATGCTAGAGCACATGTAGCAGGAAATTCTGCTTGATGTGGCAGACTCCCGTGCCCAGTGTCTGGCTGTTGCCAGCAATCAGCAGAGTTTATCATGCTCAGGGATTCTGTTGCCCAGTGGTGATGGCTAAAACTTTTTTTGAAAATAGAGATATTTTAACATTTGGTCTAATTGCAATTTCTAAAAGAAAGTTTCAGACTAAAAAAGTAAAGAAATGAGTGTTTGGCTTCGGGGAATCTACAACATAAAAATACAATAAATAATTAAAATCCCTGTTCTTCTTCAACTACACTTTATATCAAATCAAAATTTAAGATCTAATGGAGTAAATGCAAACCATCATATTTTTCATGATGTTCATTCCCTTATTCTGCATTTTGTTTTTCTATTCATACATTAACACAAACGCTTATATTTCAACAAACATTCCATGTATTATCAGTCTCCCTTCACCATAAAAGACCTGACATTACTTACTAAGTTGTTGTGAAGTAGACGAGGCCTCCATGTCAATAGTCACTTGCTCATCCGAGCTGACGGATTCACCAGCACGCCATCTTCCCAGCTCAAGTTCCATCTTTTCCAACTGGGCCTTGAGCTTAGTCACCTGTAGGAGAAAAGTATCATCAGAGGGGCAAAATAATAAGATACGAAGCTAGAATATGAACATTTTCTAATTTCGAAGACAATTAAAAAAAAAAACACAAACTAACAAAATACCTTTTCCTTCTCCTTCTCATAGCGACGCTTCCACTCCTCGGCTGTCAGTTCTTCATTGACAGTTACAACATTCTTCACAGTCTTAGCTCTGTTTAATAATTAGCCAGTATTAGAAAGTAATTCCCACAGATACTGTAATATGTAATTTCATTTGCTTTAGTATTCAAGTGTGATCAAATTGAATATATCTGAAATTTTTTACAATTTCATGCAAATAGATAGATAAAAATCTCACCTTCGACCAAAGTCAAGAGTGGACTTGGTTTCTGCCTCGTTGAAGGATGCAGGGGAGCAGCAGATGACGATGGTAGTTCGGGCATTGCCTCCAAGAGATTCCTGAAGGATACGAGTCAACTTGGAATCTCGATAGGGGATGTGGGTTTTGGTGTTGTCGGCGAGAGCGGAGATCACATTACCAAGAGCTGAGAGCGATTTGTTGATGTTCTTGGCTTCATCCAAAACTGAACCTTCAGCTCCAGTCTTGCTAACCTGTGAAGAAGAGGAATTTAGAACTATAAAAGGGGCTAAAAATGAAGTATATTTAATAAAAGGATTTCATACAACCTTTTAGACTAATAACAATAACTCAAAGACTAAACATACAGTGGTAACTAGTTGCACATACACAAGATGTGTTTATACGCACCTTCTCACTACCAGCCAAATCCACAAGGTACAGTTTTCCAAGAAGTTTCTTCTGAGACTCAATGTTCTCTTGTTTCACTTGAATCAAGAAGACACTGTGACTTCTTGAACTGTGTTCATTCATGTCTGTATAAACAAGTTAAATATAATTAGGGTGTGATTTTCTAAGATTATCTTCCTATATGAGAAGACGACTATTTTGCCTACATACTATTTATTCCCCATAATGAACTATTTGGTTAATGAAATTGAAAATGCCAAACCCCTCAAATATTATGCAGTAAATCTCACCAACACACCCACATACCCACTACTTGCCCATGCACGGTATACTATTAACAATATCTAACAAACCTCCAACATGGATATTCTAGCATGGCAAAAGTTCTTCCATGACAAATATATAGTAGAGGATACAGTGATTACCCGCCACTGAACAACTATTAGGATAGACGTGGGACTATAAGCTTTTTGCTACCTTTTACTACAAGATTTCATGGATTTGAAAATTAAACAATATAGTTACAAGAAAAACACCCCTTTCTTTAAGCCACTGTGGTTAACTAATATTATTTACCCAGAATATCAACCTACATAATTCACCATGTTCTTGTACACTACTCTGTTCCTGTTGTATATTTACCATATCTACGAAGTAAACATTTGATATGGTAACCACCTTTATGAATAACTATGTAATAATCATTTAGGACCAATCACTATAAAATATAAATCATGAGCTAAAGTGCCACTTCATGTCAGCAAGTTGCTCCCACATGAAAGGAGATAATAATAATAGTAATAAAAAATAGCCATGACATACTTGTAACTGCTACATGACGATTACTCTTGCCCATTTCAATGACTTCAAAAACTTCCTCAGGAGACGACACGAAGCGTTCGGTTGCGCCCTTCACAAAAGGTACCCGGTTTTTGTCTTCATGCACAGCCAGATTCACTTTCGACACTGTAAAGGAAAAAAATGCCAATTATCCAGTTTAATTTCACAACAAATGCCAATCGGCAAATCCAACTCTACTTCAGAGTAAATTAATAGTCACTAATATCTAATACTAAAAAATAATAAGAATAAGCATAATAATTATCATGATCTTTTTTTTTTTTTAATGTCAGCTGACTTTGTGACACTCAGCCTATGTCACAATTTCTACATGTCAAACCTAGTGCCAAGTTCAAGCTCTTAGTGACAATTCTAGAGAACTCTGGCAAAACAGGAAATTCTTCAGGTATTTATACAACACAATTAACGAACAAACATTAAATTTTACTAAACTACTTCCCTAAATATCTTAAAAAAAGGCTAAAATACACTTGCTACCACCATCACCACCAATCGAATCAACTTACCGTCTAAGAGATCCCGGATCTTGTCCATATAGATTTCGAAGTAGGAAACTTTAATGTGGAACTCCAGATTCTCTTCCATGTTATAGATATGATTGAAGATATCACTGATGATGCGAGGTATGATGCCCTGAAGATTTGGATCACCAATGACACCTTCCATCGTATGGGTCTTTCCCGAAGAGGTCTGACCATAGGCGAATATGGTTCCATTGTAGCCGTTGAGGACATCTACATAGGGAGAGAAAAATAATTTTGTTAATAATACACATTCATGCATATGTTCGTCTTGTGTAACTAAGTTAACACCAAATTTACGCAGAGCTTTTCTCAAATTCACACACAGACAAACAATGGAAGAATTTCTTACCTTTAACAATGTCTCTGGCTGCTGTATTATATACCTTTTCTTGAGTAACATTTGGTTTTAAAATGCTATCAAACTGATAGACTTTACCCTGAAAATGAGAAAGATATTACTATATTGATAATCTAGGATATCAGAAAAAGGTGAGAAAGTGTGCACACACGTGTGTGCGTGCATGCTTGTGAGAGTGCGCTTTTCTTTGCAGGTTTCTTTGGGTGTGGGTGTCAGTGGCTGCATCCCATATCTGTGTATGTATGTGTATGTGTGTGTGTATGTGTGTGTGTGTGTGTGTGTGTGTGTGTGTGTGTGTGTGTGTGTGTGTGTGTGTGTGTGTGTGTGTGTGTGTGTGTGTGTGTGTGTGCGCACGCTTGCGTATGTGCGCACATGTGTACATGTGTGATGTGCAAGAGATAGATATACACACATGTGCAAACATGTCCATGTGTGCGTGTCCATGTATGTGTGGCTGTGTGTGCATGTCCTGTGTGAGTGTGTGGATGCAGGAGGGTGTGTGGGGGTGGAGGTGGGGTGGGGGGTATGGATGTATGAAGTGTGTGCATGTTGTTAACTTTGTTTACAAACAACAGAGGTTAATCACCAAGAAATCAATCACAAGGCCTACTTATCTCATGTGTTTACCCTTTCCCTTGATTTTTGGGAAAGATTTAAAATCATTTTATCAACATTTTAACAACCATAACATCAGTAACAATATCGATATCAGTTATAATACGAGAATAAAAAAAAAAAAAAATCTTTAAATTCACGGCATTCAGGTGAAGTCAAGAAGGCCACCTGACTGACTTCTTGGCTACTAAGATCCCGATAATTCACGGCATTCAGGTGAAGTCAAGAAGGCCACCTGACTGACTTCTTGGCTACTAAGATCCCGCAAAACTATCTATGTGTAAATTAAAATCACGATACAAAAATACAATGCACCTGAGTTAACTCTTTACTGTATTAAATGCCTTCATACCTAATAACATTACCTATGTGAAAGTAATAAAATTATGTAATAATATTTTGTTAGCGAATGTCAACATTTTAAAAAAAGGTCTAGATTAAAGCCGTCCTGGAGATTGTCTTACTTTTTCCTATTTATAATAGTTTTTAGAAATGAAATCAGATACACTGCCTACTTGCAATAACTTTTACTATTATCCAGCCTTCTGTTCTGTTGATAGAGTAAATAGTTATCAACTAAAAATAAAATTTATTGTTCCTTTAACTATGATGCATGTTTTTACTAAGTTTTAAAATCCAATGCCTTTAAATCTATGAAAACAAAACCATATGTATTTCATGGGATATTCAATGGTACTTATTCACAACAGCACAAGGGAAAGCTAAATCCTAATAAACCAAACTGCCATTATAAGGGACCAAAACAATATCTACTGATTATACAGAGAAATCAAATAATCAAATAGTAACACAGGTATATACATATGATAACTTGAATAGCTGTGGCTTTAAAATTCTATCACAGGCCACTAAAACCTCTACTTAGAACATTCCGGAAAGAGAAGTGTGCATCGATCGCCCTTTTTATTATCAAACAAAAGGCATTCAGGTTCTATCTCGCCAGGTGGTGGAGGTTTATTAGCCTTTGCCAGGGTCCCGGGCACGGCAGGATCAGGTGATTCAGTACTATCCCGAAGAACTGACTATTTGTAGAATATTAAAAATAAGAGTTAATAATTACAGTCTAAAATCCCATTTCATTTGT